TTTTTTTTCCAACATCCCACAAACTTTTAGACTTCTAATTCTCAGTTGAGCGTTAGGTGCAATATCATTTATTGCAGGTTTACCTCCGAAAAGAGGCCCAAGCACATGTTACATCTCTAATAAGCTACCTGAATGATCTGTCTTGATGGAACTGTGTAAATTTTGCGTAAAACAAAAGCATAAAAAGAAGTAATTCCATTGTAATCAGAATTCACATGGGCCTAAGCGAAGACAAGTCTTATTTGAAATCTGTATAATGATATGACATCAAAGAAGAAAATAAACTTATACGTATCTTAGAAATGCGAATACGGGGCATCGAGAGCTATGCCTCCAGCAAATCGTTGACAGAAAATTAAAGAAATACGGTTAAAGCAGCCAAAAGTCGAGGGTATAAAGCTGTAATTCAATAAAGCTAGCAGAGATGCAGTCATTCCATACACACAAATAATTATTTAAATCTGTACAACCATTTTCAACCTAAACAGTGACTAAAAGTCGGTTAGAGTTCAAATAAAAAAAAAAGAAAATGATAATAAAAAGATCCATGACTAAACATATGGGCAGCGGTATGCAATTCCAGCAAATTAGAGATCCTTAGCGCGAGAAATAAAAATATTTCTTGCTATTTCAGGAGTCAAAACATTTTTGAACCAAACTTGCGGAAAGATAAAGTTTAACGGCCAATAAGCCCCAAAAACTAAGTTCAGCCTGAAAAATGATAAGCAAGTGAATAAAATAGTTTTGCTGTTAACCTTCCGGGGACCAGAACGGCGCCGAAGGAAATTTAGCTGGTAATATCCGCAAAAAAATAGAAGTTCGCAACCTTTCTTTAAATGTCTCGCCATCACTTTCTAGTTCGCAGTAGCGACTCAAAGTATTATAATCATAAGCAGTGTATCCCATCAAAGTAAAGTACATCTGCAAACTGAGTGTTCTAGATCGGAGGAGGCTTAAAAGCAATCATCCCCTCAAGCTACTTCAAGATATTCTTACGCCTTTTTCATCTGGTTAGAAAAAAAATTTAGCTCTGTTCGACAGACTAAGGAAGATGAAACTCTTCAAAAAGAAAAAATCCAAGACCGACATGTTGAAAAAAATTTTAAATGTCCTACTTGAGTTCCAAAAAATATCAGCGCTATGATAGATGATGCGGCAGCCATGCTAAAAAGTATGCATATCCCTGTGTTTACCAAAGAGTCTACGCCGTAAATCCATCGAAATACAGCCACAGGAGCAATGAATTTGACGAAACCAAAAGGATACCACTCAGGTTCCACATATTTTACCAAATACATTAGCAAGTAATAAGCTCCAATCCCAGCACCTAATCCAGCCCACAACACAAATACAATAAAGTATCGCTGCAGAAATATTTATTTAGAAACAGGTAAACAAATGATGAAATGAAAAAGGAAAAGAGGAACGTCAAACCTGGTTTGCGATCCCCACACATGCACCAGTCATGAAACAATGATGGTCCTTTCTTAGAACACACATATTACACAAAGGACAATGATGGCTCCGCTTCGGAGCATTCCTGTTACATTCCATGCAGTACTTTGATTGAGAAAGGCCACTTTCCAGGGGTGTGTCAAGGGTAGCTTTGCGTATCCAGCGCTGTGGATCATTTTGCCTAAACTAGGAACCAAGTAGACAGTTAGCGCACAGTCCAATAGTCCGAAAATAGTGACAACTAAGATCACTTCTGTAGAAGGAAATTATACGTTTGCGAATTCATTCGAGGAATACGCGAATTTAGTTTACAAAGACAAGTCTACGAAAAAAATACAGAAAAATTTATACCATTAGACTTGACTATCTGAACTGCATTTCCACTAAAACCTCAAATAACAGACCCCAAAAATGTTTAACAAACTACTATTGTGAGCGCTAACTCAAATAACGGAATTTGTAAACAACGAAGAAACTGAGCTAGAAAAAACTACTTATCCAACAAATCAGGACCTCAAATTCCCAATAACTAATATTAGATCTTTCTGATCCGGAGGCTGGCAAGAAATCACCGTACATGAAAATCACACCTAATTCCGTAAATAAAAACCACTTCAGCTCTCATAACAGTTGCGAAATGTCACACAAACTCAACATTAACATACCTGCTATACTTTAAAAAACAATAGAAATTTGCAGCTAATTCTGCAACAACCACCGCAGCGATCACTTTTTCATTACCACATCGACCTTCACCATATGTCGCAGGGCAAACATAAATCAGCACAAGTGCGACAACACCCGCAATCACCCCCACTGTATAAAATACTCCACAGTAATTAGCCAACCGATAAGAAATACGGGCGCGCATCTCTCATCACATTTCTAACTTCTTTTTACTCGTATCCAAAGAAAAGAAAAATACATGTCACTACAGTCACCCCTAAACAAAAAAAATTTCCAAAGTTTTCAAAAACACCGAGAAACAGAAATGAAAAAAGCAAAGAAAAATGTGCCCAAGGTCACAAGAAACCTAACAAAAGATGATAAAAATAAACTCGTTAAAAAACACATTTATTGACGAAACCGATTACAGCAAAAAGATGCTTCAAACAAGCATGCAAAGTTAAAGTCATAAAAGTAGTGAAAAGTAACTTGTGGAATGAGAAGATCTTTTTTAGGGAGTCACCCAAGTGTCAGGAATATGCTCTGATCAATTAACTCAAGTAAAAAGCTCGAAGGAAATCAAGTAAAACAAAAAATGAGGAGAAAAAGACATTGCTGCGGGAATCAAATAGTTTCATTTGGTCGTAACGAGAGAAATGACATTTTTATATATGAGGAATATTTGCGCAGTTGGGATCTAAAGTCAACGCCTTTTTAAATAATTATTGACAATTTCATAAATCCTTGGAGCTGCCCGACGTGCTAACATGACTGGAGAATCTCCTGCATTTGACAAAACAGAAGGGTCAATGCCTATAATAAATGAACAAAATGACGGTTTTAATCACCGGTAAACTTAATTCAAAATCTAACAAGTCACCCAATAAAAGCAATTTTTAAGTAAATAAAAATAACGTTACAGAATAAAAAGTAAACAGGTCATAACTCTGTTATAATAATTTCAAAAGTTAACCAAACAAGGGCGAAAAAACCAAACCTGGAGCCTCCAAAAGATACCGTACTGTATGAAAAACCCTTTCGCCATCCTCCTGTGAAGAGATTGCTAGATGAAGAGGAGTAAGATTTCCTTTTGTACGACAGTTAACGTTTACCCCATGAGAAAGTAATACACCTATAGTTTCATAACATGCCCAATGGGCAGCGCTGTGTAAAGGGGTCCAACCATCCTCAGTACATGCCTCGAAATCCGCGCCTGATAAAAGGAGAAATTTTACACTTTCAATGTTATTATTATAGGCAGCGCGGTGTAAAGCTGTATATCCATCCACATCTCGAGCCTAAGAACGAGAGTTGTGAGGTGACAAAATGATTATTTTCAGACAAATAGAAAGAAAAAAAGCAACACAGAAACTGGACCACTAAACAATGGCAAAAATGATCATTTCTCAATTCAAAACAGCAATAAGAATTTTCCGTACTTTAATTAAACTCGGATCTCTTGCGAGAAGAACCTTCATAGTTTCAACGTCATCATTTTCAGCAGCCGTAAGCAACTGTTCAACAACACTGTTCATGTCTTTTTCGCCAACTCCGTCATCATCTTGCTCCCATCCAGAGACAAACATCCCACTTGCTTTCCCCCGACGTATGGTTTCCTCTATACCCACCTTTATTATGAAGAGAAGGTAAAATTATAAAGAAAGAAATCAGAAATTATTACTAAAGCGTGAATTCCAAATAAAGTGTCCCGTCATCCAAATCCAGCAAAAAAAAAGTAAGTAAATTAATAGAATAAAAAAAACGAGCTGGGCCAAAGGAAGAAAACTGAGAAACTTCATTATATCAACACCTTCTATAACCCTTCATTGAGCATAAAAAACTCATCCTGATCCACAGAAAAATTTCTAACATTGAGCGGCGATCCAGCGCTATCAAACTTGCCACCTCTTCCTTCAGAATTATTCGTCCGGCTTGATGTCTGGGCCACAAGCGTATCCATCAAGTACTGATCAAACACGGATACAAGCCCTAAAAGTAAACAAATGAATACTGTTTACACCTCCGTTAAATAATTTCGACAACCACAGCATAAATAGAGCCTAAATTTACAGAAAACAACCATTGTATTCATAACATCAAAAATTAAAAAGAAAAAAAACATCAAAAAAATTATGATTTAGACTAATCACCTTCATTTGTCATATATATATA